TTATTGCCCTCTTTTTCTCAGAAGATATGTTAGTTTAATAGATACACACAGTATGGGTCTCCAGCCTCAGTGCAAGACAAGCGGGAATTTCCATTGCTCTGAGGTTTGAGAACAGCTGAGCTGCAAACACACTCCGAAGAGTCTAAAAGCTCCTGCTTAGGGTTCTAACTGGCAGAGCTTTCAAAGATCCGTGCTTTTTTTCCAGTAAAGGTACAGCACATAATTACAACGATGTACCAAATTCAATTCTGTGGCAGGCAGGTTGGAAGACAAGCCAGTGGGAAGCTATGCAGCCAATCTACCCCCCTGAAGAAAAGGATTATTGATCATAGAAGGTGTAGGAACTAGCATATCCCTCTTACAAGGAGGTCTGCCTTTAGACAAAAGAAACGTCCCTGGGTTTTTTCATTTGTTTCTTTTCTTTTCCTCTCGCTATTTTATTTATTTATTTATTTATTTTTTAACTTATTACATGTGACTACAAGCAAACTCAATGATGTAGCTGCTGAAAAACCAAAAAGTTTAGGGAAAGCTTAGCAGCCCAGTCACTGTCTCAGATAAGTTTCTTTCTTTCAGAAAGTCAAAGCCAGATTTTTCCCCAGTTTTGCCAATTTTCTTGTTTTTTGTTTGATGATGATGATTTTAATGAATCTTGCAGGAGTAATCTCACTTCTGGCATAAGTCTATCCCTAACTGATGAGATTTTGATTTCAGCATTCAGGAAGTTATATAATAATGTAAACTCTACAGGGCACTAGCAAGGGTTATAGGAATAAAATGAGGAAAGTATTTATTGTTAGAGAAGGAAAGAAAAGGTTTCAATGAGAAGGCTAAATTCTTTGATGTTATCAAGTACCATATGGATACAGAATTAGACAGGACTGAAAAGAGTCCACCTGGTTTTGCATTCCTGCTAAAACATTCAACATTTGTTAAATACATATCATGTGAATAAAATCAACATGATGCATGCACTTACAGAAATTGCAATCTGGTGGGAGTTATAGACATTCAATAAATAACCTCGCAAATAAACATTTAATTACAAACCATGATAACTTCCAGAAAGGAAAAGAAAAAAAGGCACTCTGAGACATTAATAGGGAGACCTAATTTTGACTGATAGGTAAGTGAAAGCACCACCGGGAGAATGAAATGGAAGCTGAGACTAGAAGAATAAGCAGGAGAGAGGCAGGCAGGCAGGTAGGTGGTGAGCGGGAGTAAGAGAGAGGAGCCTGTGTAATGGGCCAGAGGCAGGAAAGAGCACGGCAAATTCAAAAGCTGAAAAATAAAAGACAATGTGGCTGAGGCACAATGAACAAGAGGCCAAGCAGCAAGACATAAAACTAGGAGAGGTGGTAAGCTGTGGCAAGGAGTTTATATTGCAGCCTTAGTGCCATACAAAGCACTGATGCTTTAAGCAGATGAATAACATGATGCAACACAAATGCACTCTAGAAACGTCACATCAAGGGCTGTGCCAAGACAGATTTGGAGAAGGGCAAAAGTGTAAAGGCAGAAAACAAGCTAAAAGTATAGCATAATGGATAAAGGGAACGATAATACTGGCTTGGGCTAAGGTGGTGACAACACAGATGAAGAGAAGTGGGTAGATCTTTAGATGCAATTAGGAGGTAATTAATGATCTCCCCCAGATCAGTTTAAACGCATTGTTTAAGGCAGAATTCTGATCGCTGTTTGTTGAAAAGTGAATTAGAGGCAGGGAAGCAGAGAGCAAAAGGAGCCTAATCAGAAAAAAATGACGCTAGGAAATCAAGAGAGGGCAGTAGCTATCAGGGACCTCATTGCCAATGAAGGATTTTTATTCATCCATCTATCCAGATACCCATTCATTCGTAATCAGACAGTGAGTGACTTAAGATTTTTTTTTTCTGAGGAAGGGCAGAGTGGAGGAAAAACTGAAGAGGCAATAGAATAACAAAACTAAAGTAAGCAGGGGATAAGGATGCCCCAAACGGAGATAAGTAAATCAGCATGTAGTAGAGCACCTCACACACATGCACATGCACACTCACACCCCCCAGTCCAGTCCAGTGGTTAAAAGCACTGTCGATGAAGTCAGACTGCCTGGGTTTGAGTTTTGCATCCACTACTTTCTATCTAAACTTGGACAAGGGCCCTAGTCTTTCTTGGCCTCAGTTTTCTCATCCATAATATGGAGCTAATAATAGCGTCAAGCTCACACGGTTGTGAGGAATACATGAGATGGTGGGTGTAAAAGCTTAGCAATAGCATTGGACACAGTAACTCCTCAATATATTTTTGTTTCTATCAATAATAATAGCAACTACAATAATATTTGTCCTAACAACAAGGTATTCCCTTTTTCTGAGGTTCCACAGAGAACAGATTAACAAAAGATAAGGCTAGAGATAACTTTGTAGGTAGAAGACAATATATTGGAGGTTCCGAAGCCTAAATGCTTTCCTTTTTCTCTGGCGAGGAAGAGATTAGGTTGTTTGTAGGAAATGAAAAGAATGGGGAGGCGAGGGCTAGAAGACTTGAAGAAAGCAGGTAAGATATGGTATAGCCGCCATGGAAAAATGAAAGACCACTGAATAGGAACAAGTAAAATAACTGCTGAAATGGCAATGAGAGCCCCGCTGAGGTAAAAGCTAAAATGTCATAAAGGGACCAATTCACTCAGTTCACCAAAGAGAACAGGGAGATAGAAAGTCAGAGAGTTAGAGGCAGAATGAGAATGCTAAGGAGCTTGGGTTTTATTCTGTAAATTCTGCGAGACACCGAAGGTTTCTGATACAGAAATTACATGATGAATACAGATTTCAAGAAGACTATACAAATAGTATTAATGGGGAAAGAGAGAAAGCAAGACAACCAGTTAGGAGCCTCTCTCATTAGTACAGATGATTCTACACATTTCCAAAGTTGTCCTAAATGTAGGCTGTCGATCTAGTTTGAGGGTTAAAAAGTATTTGGGTGTATTCACACAGAAGTGAATTTAATTTCAGCATAGACCTGGATAAACATGTTTTAGCATAATTTTTACTTTTATGGATCTAAAATATGCTATTTTTAATCTCAGGCTCACACTTGCATTTAATAATTGTCCAATAATTCAATTCAATAAACATTTATCTATTGTCTATTGTATACAAGATATTGTTCTAAGCACTGCAAAACATACATGCTTAAAAGACCAAGGCATATCATTATTTCAAAACTCTTTTCCTAGATATGAGATTGTCTAAACTTTATTTGGCAAATCATGATTGATACAACCTTAGGTAATTTACATAGCGCAAACTACTTTGTAATGTCTTTGACTTTTTTCCCTAAGGACATGTAGTTAAGGATGGGCAGAGTAAATAAGAGGACCAAGTGACTTCATGTACACAGCCCCAGAATTATTTATGGTTCTGTGCATAAACAAGAAATCTCTTCCATTTTCTACTTTGCTTTTAGTTCAGAAGGTATATTGCTTTTTATGTCCCCAGACTTCATTTCCTCAGTGTGGTACCAAGGATATTCCTCTTGAAGGACTTGCTTGGCAAACTAATACATCTTCCAAGATAAACTGCATTCAGAAAAAAAATGGCTTCAGAGAAATTGTGTAGTGTACCTACTGTAAAACTCATAACCATCATGACACAGCTGAATTCTCAGATGGTATATAGCCTTGCTTCAATTATAATATGGATGCAAGGACTTTAGGTTTCAAGTGTGGACTTTGCTCTAGAAAATTTTATTTAATATTGTGCTAGGGTGCTATTTAATAAATACTATCTAGCCAGTTCAGCTGATTAATTTACCTAATTCAAAAATGAAAGAAATGTCTTCCTCAGGTACCTATACATTCTCTATCTCACCCCAAATATACACTCCTGATTTTCTTTTCAAGGATTTGACAGAATGCTCCTACATCAGTATATGGAATGCTACATCTGAGAATTAATAAACTCTAGATATGGGCAAGCAGTTATTGCACAGATTCAAAAGAAACGTACTCAGGCCCATCACATTTCAATGTTAAATAGGATTTTTAAATTGCAAATCGGATCAATTCAAACATATTACTATTAAAAAGGTTATAAAATATTTTGGATGAAGCAGACACAGTGTTTGACTACTAGGTCCGATGGTAATTTTAAAAGTGTTGGTATTCAGATGTAAAACGGTTAGGGAGCCAGGCTAAAGCTGGCAGCCGTAATACAACTGTTCATTCATACAGTGAACAAATCTTTATTGAACACTTAAGTCAAAAACAGCTTTTTCCCTAAGAAATAAAATAAATCATTATGCCTTCTTTCCTACTACTATTTTTCTGGCCAATTATTTGAATAGCAGGTTTGGAGAATGCTTAAAACATATAACTATATTCTTTAATACATAATTTATACCTAGTCCTCTTTTGTACCCCTTAAAATGAAGAGGGGGTAAGGAAACATATTTCATTCCAATAATAGTTTAACCACACTAATACATGATGTGTATTTATGAGATTTTCTTCCCATCAGAAACAGTGTATTTAAAGCTTTCAATCAATTAATGACACTCTATAGGAAATCTGAAAATTCTTGTTTTTTTTTCTGACAAAATATATACCACAAAAAAGAGTCTCTAGAACATTGCTTTTTATCTACTTACTATTTTTTTCTTTAGCCTAAATTTGTTGGGTCCAAATTCTAACATCAAGATCTAAATAGAAGAAAAAATAGCCAATACAATAATATATACTATTTTCCATATATTAATAGAATTAAATATCAGCACTTATATGAAGGAGATCTCATAATGTATCTTGAGGTATTTTGTAGCATATGAATCTTTCTTTATTTTTCAATACCATGACAAATAATAATAGATAAACAAGGACTTTTTTTCTGACAGCCAATGGTATATTAAATTATGTAGTTATACAGGAAAAAAAAAATCAACAATTGATAGCTTTCTCTTCACTGTTTCTGACATGTGTTACCTCCCAGCTGAATTTGTGGGCCCTTATGTTAGATACGTACCACAACTCCAAATTGTTCTGGCTCACAGAGGTCATCATATTCACCCTTCAGCTGTGCTAATTCACTGAGTACTTTCTGCTCGGGAAGATGTTTTACAAGGTTCTAAAAAAAAGTATACAAGTTTAGTATTTTATTATTAGGATTATTATACATGTATTAACAACTCTAAAAGTGACCAACTAGGACAGAAGATAAATTTCTGATTGTGGTTCTGTTATAATAAAAGTGTATCCTCCACTTCTTTTAAAAAAATTAACCAAAAAATGAACTACAATTTAATGTGAATAGATATAAACGTGTTTGGTTTCCAAACACTACAGTACATAAATGTTAAACAAAAAGATCATATAGCAATAAATGATATGCCAAATCAACTGAACTTCTGAGCCATAAACACATAATTTTTTGAGCTTTATTTTCTATCATGATAGTCAATCTACACAGAAAACAAAAAAAGATTATGTAAAATTAACTCATGTGCAATAATAATAATAGAAAAATCAACTCTACTCTTTATAAGTGGCAAAATTTTGAATCATCTTCAATCTTATAAACCACACTAAGCCTATGGAAAAAATCTCCCATTATTTATAGTGTCTATATTGAAATACACAATGCGGGCCGGCCCCGTGGCTTAGCGGTTAACTGCACGTGCTCCGCTGATGGCGGCCCGGGTTTGGATCCCGGGCGCGCACTGACGCACTGCTTCTCTGGCCATGCTGAGCCCGCGTCCCACATACAGCAGCTAGAAGGATGTGCAGCTGTGACATACAGCTATCTACTGGGGCTTTGGGGGAAAAATAAATAAATAAAATTATTAAATACACAATGCATTCCTAGTTTAATGGAGAATCAAGCAAAAGTGATGAAGTCTGATGGATGCTCAAGTTTAATGCCTAAGAGAATCAAAATTGATTAATTCTTCTCAATCTAGTTTAATTTGGACTTTGGAAGAGTTCTAATTAACATTGCATTAGCCTGTAACCAACATTTTGGGGATTTGGTACAGTTCTAATTATCATTACATTAGTCTGCAACCAACATTTTGGGGACTTGTATAGGATTTCAAAAGACATATGAAAAAGAGGAAAGCGAGAAACAAAGATTTAAGAAAGTTGACACAAAATGGCAGAGAAGAATGTTCCAGAGATTGGTCCCTCCAGCAACGCAACCACTGAGCTGGAAAGAGTTATTTAAATAAACTATTTCAGAACTCTGGAACCTGACTGGGTACTTACATCAGGGGAAGAGTTAGATGAAGGGAGACACTGCTCTTCTCTGGTAAGAGAATGACATGCACAAAACAGATACCATACCCTATTCCTCAGAACCACTGTGAGGATAGTACCTGAGTTTCTGGAGGAGCTGGCTGATGCCAGAGTGGGCAGTAAGGACCCTGTTCTCAAAAATTTGGAGATACACATTTTGGTCGGTTTGGCAGTCCTCTGAAGGACCAGTGCAATGCTTGCCTTGGTTTCAACCCTCTTAAGTTGCAGCAGCTTCCTCTGATAAAAAGATTTAAATAGACAGAAACACCTCCCCTGCTTTTTGGAACCAGACATTTAAGGAAATCACTGGCTAATGGTGAAGATAATGAAACCCAAACTTCAGGGACCACACACAAAGAATATACACTTTGTAAAAATTATTTGAAAAAGTGACCAAAAAATGGCTACAGCCCACAGCAAACAAAAATCAGCAGTCCAGGAAGAGCAGCAAAACCAAATTTCCAAAGTTATAATATACTTAAAATCCACTTCTCAACAAAAAAATTACAAAGCATGCAAAGAAACAAGAAAGCATAGCCTATACACACGGGTAAAAAAAGAATATGACAGAAACTGTGTTTGGAAAAGCTCAGACTTTGGAGTTACTAGTGAAAAACATTTAAATCAACTATGTTAAATATGCTCAATGGGCTAAAGGATACTATGCACAAATAGCTAAAGGAAATCAGAAGAATGATGTATGAACAGAATGAGAACGTCAATAAAGATATAGAAATTATAAAAAAGAAATAAACAGAAAATCGGGAAGTGGAAGTATAATAACTGAAATGAAAAATTCACTAGAGGGGTTCAACAACACATTTGAGGAGGTAGAAGAAAGGATCAGTGAACCTGAAGATATATAATAGAAATGATCCACTGTGAGGAGCAGAAAGAAAAAAGAATGAAGAAAAACAAACAGAGCCTGAGGGACCTGTGGCAGACAATCAAGCATACAAACATGAGCATCACAGGATTCCCAGGAGAGAGAGAAAGGGGCAAAAAAAAATATTTGAAGAAATACTGGCTGAAAACCTCTCAAATCTAATGAAAGACAAAAATATACACTTCAAAGAATATACACTGCTCGTCAACTCCAAGCAGGACCTCAAAGAGGTCCGCACTGAGATACTTTCTAATCAAATTGTCAAAACATAGGAAAAGGAAGAATTTTTAAAGCAGAAGGAAGGAAGTGTATTTTCACATTCAAGGGATTCTCAATTAGATTGATATCTGATTTCTCTCACGGGAGCCAAAAGGTAGTGGGATAACATATTTACAGTCCTGAAATAAACTAAAAATCTGTTAATGAAGAATTCTATATCCAGCAAAACTATCCTTCTTCAACAACGAAGGAGAAACTAAGACTTTCCCAAATTAACAACAACAACAGAGACAATTTATTGCTTGTAAACCTATCCTGCAAGAAATACTAAAGGAGGTCCAATAAGCAGAAATGAAAGGACACTAAATGGTAACTCAAAGACATGAGATGAAATAATGAGCAATTATAAAGGTAATTACATAAGTAAATATAAAAGTCAATGTTATTGTACTTTTGTACCTTCTCTTTTTTTCTATATGATGTAAAAGGTAAATGCATAAATCAATAATTATAAATCTATGTTAATGAGAAAATAATGCATAAAGATATAATCTGTGACCACTACAACATAAAAGAGAGAGACAGAGATATATGGGAACAGTCATTGTATATTATTGAAATTACGTTTGTATTATTAAAACTAGACTGTTAAAATTTTAAGATGTTGTTATCTCTAAGGCAACTAGTAAGAAAATAACTAAGAATTATACAGAAATAAAGACGGAAATCAAAATAGAAGGCTATCCAAAAAACAACTAAATACAAAAACAGATAGTAATAGAGAATTTAAGGGACAAAAAATATGTAAGTCATACAAAAAACAGCTAGATGGCAGAAATAAGCCTTTCCTTATGAATAATTGCTTTAAATGTAAATGAATTAAACTCTCCAATTGAAAGGAAGAGTTTGGCAGAATGGATTTAAAAACAAACATATCCATCTATATGCAGTCTACACGAGACTCACTGTAGATAAAAAGACACAGAAAGGTTGAAACCAACAGGACGGAAAATGATAGTCCATGTAAATAGCAACAAAAAAAAGCTGAAGTGGCTGTATTATTGTCAGACAAAATAGACTTTAAATCAAAACAGGTAGAAAGGGACAAAGAAGGATATTATATACTAATAAAACTTTCAATGCATCAAGAAGATAAAATTATTATAAATACATGCCCACCTAAGAACAGAGCTCAAAAATATATAAAGCAAAAGTTGAGAGAACTGTAAGGAGAAATAGACAGTTCTACAATAATAGCTGAAGTATTCAATACAAAACTTTCAATAATGCATAGAACAAGTAGACAGAAGAATAACAAGGAAATAGAGAACCTATACAACACTCTAAAGCAATTAGACCTAAGAGATATATACAAAACACTCCACCCAAAAAGAGCAGAATGCACATTCTTCTTAAGTGCACCTGGAACACTCTCCCAGATAGATCACATGTCAGGTCACAAAACAAGTACTAATCAATTTTAATAGGTTAAAATCATACAAAGTATCTATTGTGATCACAGTGGAATGAAACTAGAAAGAAATAACAAAAGGAAAAGTAAAAAATTCATAAATACGCAAAAATAAGCAACATACTCTTAAACAACCAATGAGTCATAGAAGAAATCTCAAGGGAAATTAGAAAATACCTTGAGATGAATGAAAATGAAAACCCAACATGCCAAAACTTATAGAATTCAGCAAAAGCAGTGCTAAAATGAAAAATTCTACTAATAAATGCCTACAATAAAAAAGAAGAAAGGTCTCAAAATCAATAATTTAACTGTATACCTTAAAGAACTCGAAGAAAAAGAGCAAACTAAACCCAAAGCAAGCAGCAAGAAAAAAATAATAATAATTAGAGCAGATACATAAAAAAAAATAGGGAACTGAAAACCAATAGAGAAAAATCAATGAAAGTTGATTCCATATTGATAAATCTTTAGCTAGACTGACTAAGAAAAAAAAGAGAGAAGACTCTAATAACTAAAATCAGAAATAAAAGTTGGGACATTGCTACTTATTTTATAGAAATAAAAACAATTATAAGAGGATACTATGAATAATTGTATGCTAACAAATTGAATAACCTAGAAGAAATGGAAAAATTCCCAGAAACACACAAACTACCAAACTGAGTCAAAAAAGTTGAAAATTTGAGTATATCTATAACAAGAAGATTGAATCAACAATCAAAAACCTCTGAACAAAGAAGAGCCGAGGACCTGATGGATTCACTGATGAATTTCACCAAATACTTACAGAAGAGTTAACACCAATCCTTTAAAAATTGTTCCAAAAAACTTAAAAGGAGGGAACACTTCCTAACTCATGCCATGGAGCCATCATTACTCTGACACCAAAGTTGGTTGAAGATACCACAAGAAAACCACAGGCCAATATCTCTTAGTGAATACAGATACAAAATTCCTCAAAAAATATTAGCAAACTGAATTTTGCAGCATATTAAAAGGATTATACACCATGACCAAGTGGGATTTATCCCTGGAAGGCAGGGGTGGTTCAACATACAAAAACCAATGTAATACACCACATTAATAGAGTGAAGGGAAAAAACCATGTGATCATTTCAACTGATGCATAAAAAGCATTAGACAAAATCCAACACACATTTGCAAGAAAAGTACTCACTAAACTAGGAATAGAAGGAAGCTTTCTCAACATGATAAAGGTCATACATGAAAATCTCACAGTTAACATCATATTCAA